CTCCCTAGCAAAGCGCAGGGAGGGTGTCGTGGGAGCCTCTGGATTTTTTTTTTCCATCCCTTGGCAGATGGCTTGTTTGATCTGGAAGATTTTGCTGTCAGGGCCAATTAGAAGCAGCTGGTAAACACAGGCCTGTCTGCTCCCTTACCCCCCAGCCTCACGGCTCTTCTTCCCTGGCTGGCGGGAAGGCATGGCTGCAGACTCGGAAGAAGAAAGCGCCTGTTTGTAGTCCCTAGGCACCGATTAATTTCAAAGGTGGGCTTTTGTTTGTTCTTTGAGTGTTTTGTTAACCCCTTCGGCGTCTCCGTGGTTGGAAGGCTAAGCAGATCGGCTCCTGCCATTTCCATTATGCTTCCATGTGTCTTACTTGGCTTCATTCCTTTGGCAATGCATTTGAATACGCCTCTTGTGATAGGAGTGCATGTAGGTGGGTGAGTTCCACCCCTGATGACACCCTTGGAGACCATGTGGTAGCTCTCTCCCCTGCCTGTGTTCTAGTGAGGGATACTCCTTTATGAATGTGCCTGGATATTATTCATTTGGTAGCTGTCAATTTAATGTTTTAACGCTGGAATATGCAACCTGTGGAACTCACTGCTGCATGAAGTGAAGAGCTCAGATTCTAGACCAAGGGGAACTGCACCTGAGGGCCCATCAGTGAAGAGAAAATGGAACGAGGCTTCCATTTCTCGTGCTTTCACCGCACTAGTTGTTAATGAGGGCCAGGAAGACGTTTGCATTATGTCTTGCAGCATGGTGTGCAGTGAATGTATTTCTCTGCAGCTGTCTGTGTTGGTCATTGCTAGAGGCAAGACACCAGTCCTGGTAAACCAATAATACATTGTCACTTATCCGGATGGGGATTAGATGGATGGTCGGTTTGCTCAGGAATAACTATGCCTGATGGGTTCCTTACAGTGAAAGGAGCCAGGTGGGAAAATTGAGGGGACTTAAGAGACTCCAGAGAGCTGGAGGTGAACAGCTGGCTTTGAAGCTTGCTCAAGAATTGCCTGTGCTTATTCTCCGTTGCTATCTCCCAAGGAATCCACAGCTGCTAAACAGCGTGGCTCCTGCGCCAGTGGTGGACTGATGCAGGCCAGGAGTTTTTTTGTTTGTTTGTTTCTATTAGTGGTGCACAAGCACTGGTGCATGTAAAAAAATTATTCCGCACGTGGATGAAAAAGAGTGAAAGGAACCTTGAGAGCAACGCCTGGGGATTCCCTCCATCTGGGCCTCTCTCACTGCCGGCCTTTCATCCCAGAGAAGCAAGGAGGGTGGGAGACATCTGGGGGGAAAGGGCCTGAGATGGTAGGTACAGGGTGGGGAGGGATCGTGGGAAGCTGGACGCTCCAAAGCTCATACTCAAGGAGGAGTGAGAATTTGAATCAGAAAATCCTCCAGTCCTGACTTGTAGCCCACGCTGCACCAGCATCTTCCTGGCCCTGGGCAGCTGCACTCTGAAGAGGTTGTGCACTGGGCTGAGACTCAACCGCCCAGACTCATCCTGTGACCTGAAACCAGTGTGACCGCCCGGCCTCTCCCCTTCCCCTTGCTGAGCTAGGCTGGGTAGGAGAGCAGCTTGCGTGTCTCACGAGTCACCTAGAAGCAGGTGCTGCTTGGGCATTAGCCAGTCTCTGCTGGCTGCTGGGAGAGGAATCTGCTCTCCCCAGCACCAACCCGGGGACTCCAGAGCCACTGTCCCGTCACCCAGGAGGCCTTGCTGCTTCTTTCTCTCTGCTCTCGAGATTCGGCGTGTCTGCACGGAAAGAGGTGTGACGGGTCCATCTCTCTGCATGAAGCCGACAGCCCCTGCCCAGTACCTGAGCCTCCCGGTGCTGCTGTAACCAAAAGGCCGTGGGAGCCTTTTATCAAACACCTGCTCCCCGAGGCTGCGTCACTCACATGGGGTCACCTTTCCCAGCAATCCCCCTCTGAGTCACAATCTGGGGGGTCATTAGTCCCGAGAGCCACCGTAAAGAACACGATGGCCTAAGCCAGCCTGATCCTGCCACCGGAAGATTGCCCCCTTGCACACTGGTCCTGTTGGCCTTACAGAGAGAGGGTCCCCTGCTTTTACTTTTCTCTTTAGGTCTGTTAGCATCGAGGTCTGACCGGGCGGGCAAAGATTAATTGGCAAAGTTGCTGGACAATCCAAAATACTCATCACTGACCTCGCCCCCACCTCTGACAAACCTCCTGTGGAATGACGGCAGTGGGAGCAAAGCAACGCCAGGTGCTTTTGAAGAGCTACACGTGTCCTAGAACGAGGTCTTGTCCTGCTTGCCCAGCTGCAAATCCATTGAACTTGGTGATGTAAAGGTGCAAGATCAGAATAAGATGCAATGGCTGATTCGCAAGGTGTTGATTGACACGCCAAGGATCAAACCAGCGGCTCTTCAAAGCAGCACAAAGTGATTTAAATTTGGAGGGCTAGTATCTATGGGTTTTTTTTTTCTGTTTTTACTGATTTAAAATGTTCACGGTTGCAAGAAATGTTGGGAGGGGCGAGACAATGGGGGAGATCATGAAGAGTCCTGCACTTGGGACGGAAGAATCCCAAGCATTGTTACAGGCTGGGGACCAACCAGCTAAGTAGCAGTTCTGCAGAAAAGGACCTGGGGGTTACAGTGGAGAAGCTGGATATGAGTCAACAGGGCGCCCTTGTAGCCAAGAAGGCTAATGGCATATTGGGCTGCATTAAGAGGAGCATTGCCAGCAGATCTAGAGAAATGATTATTCCCCTTTATTCGGCTTTGGTGAGGCCACATGTGGAATATTGTGTCCAGTTCTGGGCCCCACACTATAGAAAGGATGTGGACGCATTGGAGAGGGTCCAGTGGAGAGTGACCAAAATGATTAGGGGGCTGGAGCACATGACCAATGAGGAGAGACTGAGGGATTTGGGTTTGTTTATTCTGCAGAAGCGAAGAGTGAGGGGGGATTTGAGAGCAGCCTTCAACCATCTGGAGGGAGCTTCCAAAGAGGCTGGAGAGAGGCTGTTCTCAGTGGTGACAGATGGCAGAACAAGGAGCAACGGTCTCAAGTTGCAGTGGGAGAGGGCCAGGGTGGATATTAGGAAAAACTATTTCGCTAGGAGGGTGGTGAAGCACTGGAATGGGTTACCTAGGGAAGTAGTGGAGTCTCCATCCCAAGAGATTTTTAAGTCTCGGCTTGACAGAGCCCTGGCTGGGTTGATTGAGTTGGGATTGGTCCTGCCTAGGGTAGGGGCTGGACTTGACGACCTTCTGAGGTCTCTTCCAGCTCTATGGTTCTATGAGATGCTGGAATTCAAAGAGTTAAAGCTTTCTAACCACTCAGACACAAATATTGCACATCATGTGTCCGAATATGCATCGCAAATATCCTGAACTCGAGCTTTTTTTTAGTTCTGGAGTAGCATTTTTCTTTCTTTTCCTTTCTGTAGCTTTCAATTATTTCTGATGGAAATAATGTTGCTGTTTTCTCTGGCTTGGGTGTGTACAGTGAAATTGACGTTTCCTGACATTTCCAGATAAAAATCTTATCCTTCCAAGTCTACCTATAAAGCTGACTCAATTTGCGCTCCATAGCCTGGCTCGTAACCCGAATGCAGGAACATTCCCATTGTCTCTGTGAATGGGGCACCGCAAAGAACGTATAACCCATGGGCTGACCCGGGGGGAGAGGACGGGGCCGGGGCGTGCTTCCAACTTGTGGAGCCATTTAAACCAGTGCAACGAGATGTAACATGCAGTGTTGCCAGCTCTCCTGATTTAATTGTGAATCATACAATGTCTGGTGCTTTACTTAAGGTCCCAGCTCTGGGCCTCGTGTGATTACATGAGCATCTCAGCTTTCAATTAAGAAAAAGTAACATGCTACTTTGCTAGCCCGCCTGTTTGCCGAGGAATGCTTGTCACCACTACCCGAGTGTCAGCCAGTGTCATGATTGGGGGTACTGACTCGTGCTAGCTGAACATTTGGTGTGGCTGATGCAGAAAACATGATCCCCCTCGCTGTGGGTAAAGAGCAAATTATTGATGATTATCGTTTGTGTGTTCCGGGGCCTGCATCGCACCAGGCTTGCTGCAAACACAGAATGAAAAAATGGCTGCTGCCGAAGGGGCTTGTGATCTAAAGAGGCAACAGATGGAGACAGATTAAGGTGGGGGAAGTATACAAGGGAACAGAGAGAGGCTATTGGCTGGCATGATAGGCTGTGGTCTCTGCACAACAGCAGTCGTGTTTCACACTTGCTGCATGGGTGTAATTGACAGAGGGGAGGCCGGCTCAGTGATTTTCCTGTGTCTGCAGGAGGAGGAGAGGAGTGACGAGGATGGGGGCACTTCTGTCCCAACTTGGGACCAGATTTCCAGCTCTCGTAGTAGGAATGTTAATTATCGGTTAATTGAACAGCCAATTAACCTCATGAATTCTTATCGGTTACTTGACTATTCTATAGTCCGGGGAGGGGTGAGACCAGTGTGCTCCGGCCCCACTCCCGTGGAGCCCCCTGACACTCAGCACTGCTGCCTCTCTATCAGAGGCAGCAGCGCAAGGTTCCAGGCGGGAGCTGGTCTGCGAGGGGAGCCGGTTGAAAAACCAGCTCCCCTGACGGACCAGCTGCCTGTTGCCCTGTGCGGATGTCTCTAATACAGAGGCAGCAGTGTGGGGTAGCAGCAGCCCCTGTCTGGCGTTGGGGGTCTGAGCTCCTGGATCTGGCGCGAGCTGGAACTGAGCCAGGCTGCCTGCCTGCCTCCTAATTCACTTTAAATGCAGAGCCACACTTTTGGTAGGTCCCAGACCCGGCACAAGCTGGACGGAGCCAGGCTGCTGACCAGCCTGCAAAAAAATGTACTGGCAAAGGGGGGGGGGGGGGGGATGCATGTCGTCTATATCATTAAGCTATAGGCTTTTGCTTATTGGTTAATTGACACTGCTATTGTATCCCTATCGCATAGGCCTGCATCCCTTCCCAGCCCTGCCTTGGCTCATGCGTTCCTCTCCCTCTTACTTCACAGGCTACCTGACGGTCAGCATTGAGCCGCTCCCGCCTGTGGTGGTTGGCGATGCCGTGACTTTGAAATGTAACTTCAAGACGGATGGCAGGATGCGGGAGATCGTCTGGTACCGGGTAAGTGCCGTCCATTAACTCCCCTCCCCGCGCCCTCCCAGGTCAGGGCCAGTTCTTCCAGGGCGTGATGGGAGGCTGGAGCTGTGCAGCTACAGGGTACCAGAGGAAACCATCAAAAGGGTGCATGGATGAGCAGCCATAGCCGCCTCATCCGATCGAAAAGGAAGACAGGGAGGGAGACGGGAAGGTTTGGCTTGGCTTCGTTTTGCAAAGAAACAGTTCTGAGATTTTCCTCGGGGCCCGTCTGACGCTCGCTCCAGTAGTTTTGTGCTGCTCCCTCGGTGGGTTTTGGCCCTTGGCAGTTTAGAAAAGGGAAAAGCCAAAGCGGTGTCTGTCTGCTGGCCGTGATGGTGTCTGGAAGATCATTGCTAGGGGCAAGGTCTTTGGTAACAGGACGGTTTGGAGCTGGGGCTCCACTTAGCCCCAGTGGAAAGAGGAGACCTGGTTGCAAGGCATAGATCTGGCTCTCAAAGTTTGGGGGCGACTGGCTCAGGCGTTATACAGCTAAGGGCCTGCTGCAAAGTTCTGATTTGGATGGTAACTTTCCCAGCATTTGGTTCTGGGAGTTTCCTTCCAGACATCCCATCATTCCTCATGTTCGCAAGCGTGGCCTCCACTTAGCCCCAGTGGAAAGAGGAGACCTGGTTGCAAGGCATAGATCTGGCTCTCAAAGTTTGGGGGCGACTGGCTCAGGCGTTATACAGCTAAGGGCCTGCTGCAAAGTTCTGATTTGGATGGTAACTTTCCCAGCATTTGGTTCTGGGAGTTTCCTTCCAGACATCCCATCATTCCTCATGTTCGCAAGCGTGGCCTTATGCTCCGCAAGAGTCTTAAACCAGCCACTGTATGTCGTTTCCGTGCTGAGGCGGCTGGCGGGCGAAGCATCCATCTCCTTCCTGCCCCACGGTGCCGGAAATGCCTCCTGTAATGCCACATCCCAGCCAGTGCAACGTCAGGTGGACCAGAGCAGCACAGAGACCTGTCCTGTTCCCCCGACGTGTTCCTTTTCCCTTGCTGGGCCGAAGTGACCGCTGCGTAAGCAGGCAGAAGTCTCTCTTGGGAGCACAGGTGAAGGGTGGGGTAGGCTTGAATAAGACCAAAAGCAAATCCAGTGCCTGTAAATCTGCCTAAGCAACCACCGGCCAGAGCAGTTTGGTTGGGCTCTGGATGAATTCACCCATCTCACGTTGCCTGTGTTGGATTGGAAATCCAACGCTGGTTTTTCTCGCACGGCGGGCGGCGCGTGTCTCTGGTTGGGGACTGAAAGGGGCGTCCCAGGCGAGCACGCGACGCGCGGTGCGTCAGATCGCTTTAGACCACGACATCCGTGCACGGCCATGCCGCTTCAGAGGTGCCGCACGGCTCAGCATGTGCCCGCTGGGCTGAGACGCATTTGAAACCTGGCGTCCGGGATCGCGCTTGCGCAATGAGCCGCCAGCCGCCTCTCCTAACTGACGGACCGATCCAGGGCACATGGACATGAGGGACTAGGTGCAAACGAGGCTTTGTGCAGGGGCGGGGCTGGGCCAGCTTCCTTCACAGAGCTCTGCCCATGCTCCCGGCTCTGACCTGCAGCCCCCGCGCCACTCGCTAGAGCGCACAGCTCTGCCCACCGGTGTACCTGCCTCTCAGCTCCCTGGCTTGGACAGGCTCCACTTCCCCTGCTGCGTGGGCTGCTCATTATCGCAGACCTGGGAGTTAATGGGGGAAGGGAGCTGGGAGTCCCTCAAACAGCCGCCCAGTTCTGCCGCGACGCTGTCTAGCCCAGGTCTACGGAGGTGAAAGGCAGGTCCCCCATCCCTGGTGCTCCCTCCCTCCCCAGACACCTGTCAAACAAACCCGTATGGGTGCATCCCCGGGCCAACCACATGAGTTTCAATAGCGCTCCACCCGCCGTGCATTTCGCCCCGAAATGTCCCCCCCTCCCTGGCCTGGCCGCTATCTTCAGAGCGGCCCGGTGGCTGCACATGAGGAAATAGGTCTGACAAGGATTTTCAGAGGTGATGAGCAGACGGGGATGGGATTGCAAGTCTTGGTGTTGCATTCTGGCTGGGAGGAGCCTGAGAACTTGAGGAGGAAACACCGGACTCTCCTGGCTGGGAATCTGTTCTCCCTTTTCCAGCGCTGGTTGTGTAGATGTGCACCCCGTTGGAGAGAGAGAGATCACCAGTCTCTGTGTGTGCGAGAGAGACAGAGAGAAATCTACCTGTGGGCGCAAGAGCTTAGGTCAGACATGTGGATGTGCATGTGAGGACGCTCCGGGCATGTGTGAGAGAACATGGGCTGTGTGTGTGTGTGTGTGTGTGTGTGTGTGTTTTGTGTACCAGGGTGGGGTGTATTATGGGCACGTGAGATCTGTGTGTGCGTGGGAGAGAGAGAGAGAGAGAGAAGTCTGTCTTGTAAAGACCATCGCTTATTAGCAAACTGTCTGAACTCATTTAGCTCCAGGTCACTTGGACAGCAGAAAAGCCAAGAGGTCGGTTTCTATTGCAGAAATGTATTAAACCTCTTCAGAGGCTCATGGGAATGTATCTCCACCTGGCAGGTCTGTCTGTCTTTTTCCCTACCTTGCAAATTGTCCTCGGGGCTTAGCGGCTGCTGCCCTGCGGCCCCAGCAAGCCGGACGCTCTAGCACAGGGAGGATTAAATCCTCTGGCTTCCCAGCAGCCCCCATTCTTGAACGCTCCAGCCCCGTGGGGCTGTGTGCATGTGTGTGTTGGCGGGGGCAGGGAGGCCTTGCTACGGGTGCTCTGTGAGAGAGCTGGAGGTGATGTGCAGACCTGTCAGAGATGTGCATGGCGTACCAGGGGCTTGCTCTCCGGGGGTGTGAGGATGGGGCTGATGGGGCTTAGGACCGAAAGTGGGGATGACAGAGGATGGTTCATCAGCCACCAAGCAAAGGGAAAAGGCAGCAGGAGAGCAGAGCAGATATTGTTCTGCCAGAAGGAGCCAAATAGCCTGTGGTGGCATTCGTCCCTTCAGCCTGGTGCCCTGTGACAGACTCAGGGCAGGGCCATGGCCATGCTTTCACTGCACCTCCCAAGCCCACCGTGGAAAGTCTAAGGTCTCCTGGGACCTTTCTAAGCTCTGCCTTTAATACTCTATCCCAATGCGCTCTGCTGGGAGCACCCTATCCTCTGCCACAGCAGAAGGAGTGATAGCCAGGACTCACTGTTTGTGTGAGGGTAGTACTTCAAGAACCACCAGCAGGGCCTGGTGCTAGGCACTGTACGTCCCTATACCCTGCTGAGCTCCACCATCAACTCTGTATCCCCTGGGACCAAGCCTCCCCGCCCTTCTCCACTGTATAATATGGAGGTACACCTATCTCATAGAATTGGAAGGGACCATGAGAGGTCATCAAGTCCAGTCCTTTGTCCTCATGGCAGGACCAAGTACCATCCCTGACAGATTTGCCCCAGATCCCTAAATGGCCCCTTTAAGGATTGAACTCACAACCCTGGATTTAGCAGGCCAATGCTCAAACCACTGAGCTATCCCTCTCAATTTTTTCAAGCTTCCCTCCTTGGCCATGTTTTCTAGACCTTTGTTGCTCTTCTCTGTTCTCTCCCCAACTTGTCCCCATCTTTCCTGAACTGGACAATACTTCCCCTGAGGCTTAATCAGTTGTGGAGAAGAGCAGGAAGAATTACTTCTTTTCTTGCTTGCATGTCTACATTGCAGCGCTATTTCAGGATACCAGGGTATCCTGAGATAGCTATCCCACGTCTTCTCAGCAAGCCTGTTATTTCAAAATAGAACAGGCTCGCTAGTCCGACGTCCCTGCAAACCTCATTCCACGAGGAGCAAGGGACGTTTCGGAATAGTGGGTTATTTCGAAATTTGGTGCTGTAGAGACAGCTCATGTCATGATTTGGCGCTATTTCGAGCTACGGAGCAGTGTAGACGCACCCTAGCTAATGCATCCCCGAATGATGTTTGCTTTGCAGCCGTGTTACACCCAGTGCATTGATTCAGATCATCTGCATCTCTTAGACGTCCCTTCTCCTTGGCACTGGCCCTTGTTCAGTCCGACTCCTGGCTACCATGTAATCTGTCCTCGGGACATGGGAGAGGATCAGACAGAATCGGTGACTGGGATTTGACGGTATCGGAGAACGTTCCTGAGCCTCAGAGCCGCAGCTTAGATTGCTGCTAGGCACGAAGACACAAACATTATTGTCTTCAAATTCTGTCAGTGCCAACCCGTCTCAGGTAGCTAAATTTAGCCCTGTAAGTGTGATTTCCAGCCGTCTCCATCTGACTAAAGCCCTGCTGTGTTTAACTGACAAGAGCACTGTTTTTTACTCATCGTGGAAAGATTAAAGGTGAACATGCGCTCCGCTGAAAAGGGAGATGCAATGACAGTCTCATTCTGAAGTGAAATCAAAGCTCGGGGATTTTTCTCCTTCCTGGCTTCTCCCCATTTATTGCACCATGGGCGGTGATCTGTTCCAGCCGTGTCTTGGAGAACAGGTGTCCCTGGAGAACAGGTGTGAGCCAGGAGGATCAGGGATCTGATTAGCGAAATTAGGGCCAATGAAAGATGTGTGGATGATGTGACAGACAGCTGGCTAAGCCAGAGCTTTGCCACTGTAGCCTGGCTGAAGAGGCTGAGGAGAAACAGCTGGGCAAGCCCAGGCCTGAAGGGCTATTAGAAACAGCTGTGGACCTCACTGGGCGAGGGCTATATAAGGCAGAGAAAGGCAGCTAGGAGGGGGCAAGGAGTCAGGGTGTGGCTGAATGTGTTCCCGGGTGGATGGAGGAGCTGGCTGAGTTCTCTGTAAGTTTTGTACATAGAAGGTGGTGGGAACTGACAATAAAGGTGACTGCCCCCAGAAGCATCTCTGGCTGATTTGTGGACCAGAAGGTGTCCTGAGCAGGGACTTTGCCACAGATGGGCAAGCCTGAAAAGCCATGTCCTTGATTTATCCACAGCATGAGCAGTTTAAAGGAGAAGGATGGACCTGGTATCTAACACGCAGGTCTAGGAGTCAGAC